GTTTTGGCAGAATTTTTGATATTTACAATTTACCGACCTATGTTTTCGGGCATCGACCAATTGCGTCAAAACAAAGTTTGTATTTTAGGGTCAATATATAGTACCAATTGCGCCTCTTTTATTTTACGGTTAGTCAGGACCGGCTCAAGCGAAAATAGTGAACAAGGAAAAATCAAATTTTGCCGACCCTAACAATATAATATTATCAGTATTTTGAAAATGCTGCCCTCTTACTAAAGTGCAGCGTAAGTGCCGCCCTAGGCTTGGGCCTGTGTCGCCTACCCCTTAAGCAGGGCCTGCGATTAATGTGTACCAATTGCGCTCTTTATATTTTACGGTCAATATACCAATAGCGATGTATTCAAATTTGCCTGGCGGCAACCGTCATATTTAGAAATATTGTTGTTTGATTTAATTCCATCAACATCAACATTAACACACTAAATGCTTGAAAATGCTTGAAAATTAAAAACGTATTTATTGATCAATTGATTACTGGTTAGAGTGAATGGTTATAATACATTTTATAACGGTATCGGGAATTTTATGAAACGTTATAATTATTACGGACATTTGATCACGGAAGTATGCATTTGAGTGATAGACGAAAACAAGTTATCATTATCATACATTTTATATAACTGGCGATCAAAAAGTAACTTGTTAAATGTGAAGAAAAAATTGTTGATTTATTTATATTATATTATGTATTACGCATTAATACTCGCAAAAAATATTAATGTAATAATTTATTATATAATTATAATTTATAACTAACTAATAACTTATCCTTAGGTGGTGTAAAATGTTTTGAGAGCAATTGGTACCTATATGATATTATGAAAAGGTCATTTAAAGCGCAATTGGTAAAGTCCCATGTCTTCGACCTAATAAATACCACATTATTACATTAACCTTTGGTGGACATTTCAAATATGGAATAATTGGTTTTTGAATTAAAACAAAAAAACAAAATCGATTTTGACAAAAATTGGTTTTGAGTATGAATTCCCTTTTTTTCCCCGATGCTTTTGAAAACTACTGGGAATTTTAAATATTGACCTCTCGATATATTATAGTAACAATAATAAGGAAAACATATCTATGGTGGGGTGTAATAGGTAAGTAGTGTCAGTGTGCCAAACTAGCCTTGTACATATTTGTACTTTATTCTATAATTGTTGTACTATCTTATTACTTAAGGTCCGATGAAACATATCGTGCGTTTTACATCAACCGGGGACGGCACATCATTGATGTGACATCAAGATAAGAGTGATAAGACACACTTAATAATATATTATAATATAATTCAGATTCGAACTATAATAATTCATAAGCACAATTAGGTGGGGTTAGGGGGGCTTAACCTCCCCCCCTAAATATTTGTCTAGTCTCCCAAATATTTATCTAGTCTCCACATAATAGGTTATGTATAGTTACTTTTTAATTTGTATCTGTACTTATTATGTTTACTATGATCAATATTAACATATTCATTCATTTCAAATTTTCAACCAAGTAATTTTTGGCAACAAGCTATTTTTCTTATCACCGAATATCATAACGATTAACAATTAACGAGTTGATGAAATAATTTTTAAAAAAATGTCAAAGAATTTGAGGTTTTTTTTAAATTTGAAAAATTTCTTTTTTTCCTATAACAAATTTTCTTTCCTTATAGAAATTGGGAAATTTATTTCAATTTAAAAAACCTCAAATTTTTAAAAAAAAAATATTTTATCAACTCGTTATAAATTATGCTTTTTGGTGATAAGAAAAATAGTTTGTCGGCAAAATTTCCTGGTTAAAATTAAAGAAAAATTTGATATTTATAATATTAAACAAGTATAGTCACTGAAGATGTGTTCCCAAATTTAAATAAATTTCTACAAGTAGCTTTCACTTTGCCTGTTAGTTGCGCAACCCGCAAACGTTCATTTTCTTCATTGCGAATGATTTTTATTAAAAGCTTGTTAGATAACAACAATGAGACTAGAATGATTTTCAAATTTATTATTATTGAATATCGAAAGATATGTAACTAATTGTCTTGAGTCTTGACACAAAAACAATTATTGATACATATTCAACAACTAATAGAAAATTAGTATTGATTTAATATTATTTTATATGTACATTTTGTCTTTGAGTAAAAGTTGAATTCAAAATGTGTCGACTGTCGAGGTATATAATTATTTATAATTTTAATTAAAATGTTTTAATTCACTACCTAGTTGTATATGAATTTATTTATGTATTGTTAGTAGCCAGCCGATTAGTTAGAGGGGTGCGGGGGGCGACTCCCTTGCGGGTCTTTGCTCCTGATAAAATTCTAGTACCCCAAAAAGTTGACCCTAGTTGCTCCTATATATAATAATATAATATAGTATATAAGTATGATATTTGTGATATCGATATGATTATTAAGATGAGAGTGATGGTATTAATAATATTATTATTTATAAGTTGAATTCTTACAAGTTACATTGTATCGTTACTCAATAATCATTAGTGTTGATTGTTGAGAATTTGATACCTATGTACTCCACTTTTAGGTTACGACTTAGATACATGTTACATTGTAGCCAACGTTTTATAAGTATACACCAAAAGACACGGCGCAAGCGGTAAAAAGGATTTGCATACTCAGTGGCGTATTTAGGTAGAGGCAACATAAAAACCAAAAAATTATAGGGAAAGACGGAAATGTTTAAGCAAAACCAGCTAGGTACATAATACCTGCTATATACTTATATCAATAGACAATAATAATATTATTCACAATATTTTTCGGTTTTCATAAACATGTTAGTTACCATTATTATTTATATTATACCAGTATAACTACTTTTTATATACATGATAATTTATGACAATCATATAACTATAAAAATGTTTATTATAATAAATTTTTATATTTTTTTTTATTATAACCATGATAAAATATTATGTACAAGAAATTAAGATGGTGGTAATAACAATAAGATCCCTTTTTGGGTAGTAGTAAAACTTTCGTTGTTCTTATCTGTAAGATCTATAATATCTTCAATACGCTACTCGACTACTATATTGTATGTTATTATAAAAAATAACAAAATAACAAAATGTGACAACTGTCACACTCGGAGTTTAGAGTAAGATTTGGCCACCACTGGTCCAAGTTTAATATATAGATAGAGTGGCGTAGCCAGGGTTGTGAAAGGAGGAGGGCCCCCTTAACTCCTAATTGTTTTTTTAAATTTTCATAATATTTAAATAATATAAATTATTTAATTATTAGGGGGAGCAAATATGCAATGAGGGGGGAGCGTAGTTTAAGCACCTAGCCCCCATGGCTACGCCACTGTACATAGATATACATATAGATGATAGGGTTAAAAGTAAAATTTCCCAGTAGTTTTCAAAAGCACCATTAAAAACAAAAACAAATTAAGGAACATTTGATTTTCAACAATATCAATTTTTGTTTTTGGTGTAACTCTAAAACAAACTACCGTAGATACAATATACAATTTTCACTGAATGTCTATTTTAGCATTTTCTTTACACCGTACATTTTTAAAAAAAATTATCAAAATATTTTCAATTATTTGAGGTGCTTTTTCAGATTCCAATTATTTTAGTTTTTTTTTTCTATAAATGTCAATAAAATTGTATTTGTTGGATCAAAATGTGTGAAATTTTAATACAAGACTTCTGATATACTATTGTCACAATAGCAGTTGAAAATATTAAAAATACATAAGCACAATTTTTTTGTTATATCCATTTAAACTTTAAAGTTCGATTTTTGACATCAGTTACCTATCAGTAATCTATCAAATTGAAAATTGAAATATGATTTTTTAGTTTTTAGATTTTTAGTTATTTTTACAGCTAAAGATTGAAAATTTAAAAAAAGGTACAACGTAAGTAGGTTATTCTATAATCAAAAAATCAAAAAATATAAAAACACAGTTTTTTTTTATAGTTATTTAATGTTTAAATTTAGACGAAATTACATACTAAATAACTTACAGTAGTTCATAACTATAGTAAAATATTTAAAATAAAAGGAAAAAAGTTTTGGATAGGTTTTGAAATTTGAAATATCTTTTTTGTAAAAAAAAAAACACAAAAGCAAAGAAAATATTATGGGAGTTTAAGAATTCAGTATTCTTAAATATGATAGAATGAACCAACTTCCTATATTGCAAAAATCTGGTAATACCCTAGCCTTAGCAAATATTTTAGGACCCCCCGGCCCCCATCCTGGCTACGGCACTGCCATTATAAGTTAGTACTGAATTTGGTTCTGATTACATGTACTCGTACTACCGGTTACAACGAGAAAAACTAGCTTGAAACTCGTTATAAGCAATTTCTACTCTATTATAAATTCTCAATCTTGAAATGTATGTACTTGGGTGGTGGAGCTTATATCGATCCCACGGCTGAAATCGAAATCGCACTCGTAAAAAAAATAACATAAATCTTTTGGTTTTTACTGTTTAGTATTCAGTGATCGTCGATTTCAGATAGGGATGTGCAAATGTACCTATATCAGAGGTAAGCATAAACAACAGGCGAGTGGGCGACCTCCTATTCATAATCACCAATAAATAATGAACGCACGTATGGGGAGGTATAGCTCAGGTATCTAAATAAAATTCTTATATAACTTTGACTAAGGTGAGGTAAACAGGTTTGACGAATTTATAAGATAGTGAAATATGAATATACATTACACACAGCCATTATAGTGTCACCTACCATTATATTAAGTATATACTTTAGTATATACAGCAGTATCATCGGTATGGTTATGGTAGGTACCTATCTCGACATCACCGCTGAATAATTTGCCAATATTAGCCAGTACGAAATCAGTTCGGCTTGCAGTCGACGTCGGTTCGGCAATAAATAGAGGTGCACTCTCATCGGGTACATGGAAATTAATATCGAGCAATATAATAGCAATACAAGTACTTAAAAGAATAGTTTTCGGGTCTGTTGCGATGCTGTTCCGGACCGCTTTGGCGCTTAGCCTCTTATTGGCGTTTTGCGACGCCCTGTCGCGGCAAAAGAGAATCGTCGGCGGATATCCTTCGCTGCTGCCGAAATCCGACGGTTTCAACGACAACCAACCATCCGGTAATTCCGGTAATTCCGAGACTGATGAGAATAACGTGGTACAAGTGCAAGACGACTACCGGTCTGCCACGGTCACCGGTGTCGAGGAACCCGAAGGCTATCAAGCGTACAAAGGCATCAGGTACGCCGAACCACCCGTGGGAAGACTCAGGTTTCAGGTAAGGTGGAGATGTGCCTATTGAATATAATATGAAGACAATTTTCTACATCAGATCTTTTGTAGACTCCTATAATATATATTATAATATAGGCAGTGACTTAGGGGTGAGCCTGCCCAATGGACATTATAGCTCGTCATATTTTAGTTCACGATTTATTAATTTCTGAGTAAATACATTGATTAAATATATATGTATATTTAATCAGTGGTAGATAAGTATTAATATCTCGCAATGTCTGAATGTTTCCAAACCGAGGCAAAAATAAAACAAAAAGGGACTGTTTGGATTTTTTTGATTCTAGCCAGAATTTGTCTCCGTGCCATCATAAGTAGGTACTATAAGTTAGTAAAACAGTTGGCTATATAACTTAGTGCCTTCCTTAATAAGTAACACTCTTGGCCCATATAACAGGTACCACCTATCTATTATAATTTTAAATGAGTAAATGACCAAGTATGTTTTAGATAGGTTCCCACCTATTTACATATATAGGAACAGATACACTAGATAGCTATATAATATACAAGTTTTTTCACATTTTACGATTTAATGTTTCAACAGTTAAGGGTAATAATTCTAAATGTGAATATGTGAAAATATTATTATAAACTATAAGTGCGTAATGCGTATCATAAAAATTGCACAACATATTGTCCATAGACCCCGTGACCACTGCCCTAGAGCCTAAGAACCAAAGCATACTATTCTATTGATATAGTGTTTCTATAGTTATTTTATTTTCAATTTTATTAATAAATATTTACTTACTCTATCACTAATATATTAATTTGCTGTATTTAATGATATAACAGCAATATAATGTCTTCCTTTAATAATTTAGTTCATATTGTGGCCTGTGGGTTATACTTTGTGTAACCGAACGATCCATTATAGTGTTATTTAAACTCTATGGTCTTTACCCCGAATTAAAATATACCTGTAAGATATATACTAAAGTATAGAGGTCCATATTCTTAAGTCATAAAATGTGAAATATCAAGAATTTATCAACCGCTGTTTTGATATAATTTAACGTTTATGTGATTTGTAGTTTGTACTTAGTGATAAACGAAGACAAAATATTTTGGCATACTATAGTCATGTCATGTTTTCCACAACAATTATTTGTCTTGTTTTTAGCGTCCATCTTTTGTTCGTCTTTCTGGAAAAATCGATGCAACCAAATTTGGATCTCCTTGCCCACAGTTGAGTTCTGATGGCAGTGGACTAGTTGGAAGTGAAGATTGTTTATTTCTCAATGTGTTCACTCCGTTGGTAAGGACTATTTATAAATATTATTTAACATTTATTGTACATTTATTTTCATTTCGTTCATCAATTCCTTCAGAAAAAACTCAAGAACTCAAAGATTCCAGTATTGATTTGGATACACGGAGGAGGTTTCTTTAGTGGTTCTGCTTTACAATATGGACCTGCCCATTTAGTGAAAAATAATATTATTGTAGTTACAATACAATATAGACTTGGATCATTAGGTAAACATTATTAATTGACCAAACAATTTAAATACATTAAAAACTATACAATTTAGGTTGGCTTACAAGTAATTTAAAAGAACTTCCTGGAAATGTTGGATTATTTGATATGCGTGCTGCTGTTAAATGGGTTACAGAATATATTCATCATTTTAACGGAGATCCAGAACGAATAGTTGTATCTGGTCAAGGTAGTGCGGCTAGTGCTGTAACATTACTGGCAATGTCAGATTTTTCAAAAGGTAGTTACTTATTGAAATAAATAATTTTAAAATAAAATATTAACTAATAATATGATTTGAAAAAAATATATATAATTTCAACAGGAATGATAAGTGGAATTGTTGCAATGAGTGGTAGCCCAGTGTCTGCATTTGCAGTAGACCCTGCACCAAAACAAACATATCAAAATATGACTACGTTACTAGGATGTGATCAATCTGTTCCATTAGAAGCAATTCGATGTTTGCAAATGTTATCAATCCAAACCATTATTGACTCTGACTTTGAATATCAGGTTAGTGAATATTTTTTCTAATTTAAAAATGTACATTCATTCTTTATCTACTACTTAGAATACAAAATTAGGAAATGAAGGATACTTAACTGGATTGGGTAGTTTGTTAAATGTTGGTCCTGCTGTGGAAGGTAACAATGATGACCGTTTTTTGCCAAATTTCATCCTAGATTCACCACTACAATTATTGAAGAAACACAAATCACCTAAAATCCCAATGCTTACTGGTGTTAATAAGTTAGAAACTAAATCAGGAATTTTGGGTAAATATTAAAGATATTATAATAATAAATGTAAAATTTAGATATTTTCCTGTCATGTTTTTTAATGGAAGACATTTTATGTACCTATTTACTAATTACATTTTTAGCAATTAACATTAGAAAATCAGATTAATATACTAAGTTTATTTTTAGGAAAATACCAAGATCAAGTAATTGACAATTTGAACAAAATACCAGACTATGTTAATAAAGTACTACCACAGAAAGTGCTTAATACTAATACAGGTAATTCGATAAAATATTTACGTATTAAAAATTATTTCACCATAACATGCTAAAGATAAACGAAAATTTTAAATTATAAAATAAAATGAATTTAAGATATTTTTATTTTAGATTGATCAGTCGGTAGAAGATCTTAAAATATAAATAAATATTGTTAATATATTGTAAATATTGTAATTATAAAAGATTAAAAAAATGAAATTCAAATTACCATTAAATTTATTGGCACAGATTTGTATGTATTTTTGTATTTTAAACTGAAAAGAATCGATATTTTAAAATACTTAAGACAGTTTTTAACAATGGCATTACTACTCCAGTAGGTACTTTACCAGAAAATATATTCTATTTCCATGTAAAGAAAAAAATATTTTGATACATATACATTGAGTGAAAAGTAAAATCATATCCATCAGAAAACGGAAAAAAAATAAATGTCTGTTTAGATCAGATTTTCATTTTATGCAGAATTAATTTAAGATAATTATTTAATACGTTATATGGCAGGTTTTTTCGAAGATGGAAGTGTAAATAATGCTCTAAAGAACTTATTTGAAAATATTGAATACTTAAACTTATTCAAACCAAAAATTAAAACTGGGCTTAAAGAGCTGGTTACAAAAGTTATGCAGGTAATTAAAAATACTTATGGTTTGTTTTGATATTCATAAGATATTAATTATTTATTATAAAATAAACTTTATAGGGAACAACGGACGCATTATTCAACATGCCTGCATTCTTTACATCACATTTATGGTCAGCACGTAGCAATACATACTTTTATAGTTTTGAACATAAACCCAGTATTAAATCTCCAGGAAAATGGTTTTTACCAAACATATTGGGGAATCCTAATGAAGAAGTATCCAAAAATGACGGAACCAATTCTCAACATGTTAGTATATATAAATAATGTGTAATGTGTAATGTGTAGTATATATTTTATTTTAAAAAGATAAAAAAAAATGTTTTAATTGTATTTGGATGAATAAATAGGAGAGCCTGGCCATGGAGATGAATTGATATATTTGTATGATGTAAGGTCCATTGAAGGTAAACAAATTTCGGGAACCGAACTAAAAGATAAAAAAGATATTGAAATGAGGGATAATTTTACATCATTAGTAGCAGAGTTTGTAAAGAATGGGTAAATATCAAATTTAACACTGCTTTAGGTATTACTCATATTACATCAAATAATAATTGATTACAATTTCAGAAAACCAAAATTAAAAATATTAGGAGATGAATGGCCTTCATTTACTTCTTCAAAACAATCAGATTATGTTGTACTTGGTGAGAATTCACGTATTGGAAATAAGTTCCGTTTTTGTGAAATGGGATTGTGGGGTGGCGTGCCAGACATATTACAATCAACAGACTGCCACTTTCAGGGAATATCTGATATATTGAAAACAGTCCCAGATTTATTACAAAATGGTGTGTTAGGCGAAGGGGTGGTAAATTTACTACCTCGAAACCCAATTGATGGTTTACTAAAAAATGGTAAAAATCCATCATTAGATATTAAAAATGTACCATTGCTAGATACTAATTTAGGTCCTACAAATGGAATAAGAAATACATTAGCATCAGGTATAAAAAGACAAGATGCCACTACCAGACCACCTAATTCGAATACACAAAAGCCAACTAATATAAGGTCAAGTGGTTTTGGCACAGTTTCAGGTTTCCCTAGACCATTATTTGGTTAGTACCTACTCTAAACAACTTATGTGTTTTGTATTCTACACTAATTTAAAACATAACCGTAATTACTAGTGAAAATATATATTTTTTAAATTAAAATTTTGTAAATTTGATAAAAACAATAATACAACTTTAATAATAATGAATTACATATAATAAAATACTTATTCGATATAATAATTTGTCAAAATCAGTTTCTCCTTCATCATCTTTATTTGGTATTTCAAAATCCAATGGAACTGAATCTAACATTGAACTCATAGTCTGCATATTATTCTAAAATTCACAAAAGAAAAAGTCAGATATGAATTATATTTATGAATTGTATTACTACACTTACCGGATAATTAATGGGTGGCCCCAGAATTGGAGCCATGGGCTGTGAGGGAAAACCAAGAAGCCCTGTAGGCCGTGTGGCATTTTCATTATTTGAATTTTTACCATCAAAAAGTATAGAATCTATACTATGAGATTGTCCATATTCTTGCATGACCTAAAAATGAAAATTTAAACATTCAAGTAAATCAAAAATAAAAATACTATGGTATACTATAAGATTTGAAAATTAATTTTAAAAAAGCCCATTTTAAATCATTAACACTTATTGTTAACTTTATTTGAAGTGTCGAAATGATTAAAATTCTTAATAAACAATCAGAAATTACCACAGTATTGAGAATCAGTACTTTGTCTTACTTGTAAATCTGGTTCATAGGGCACATTACAATTTTTGGAAATTTCGATTAAATATTTCTCCACAAGTATCTTTGCCGGTGGCCTTAAACTCAACTTATGCTTAAGTTTTTCAGATACAGTATCAATGTTTTCTGATCTGCATGACTATAAAATAAAAAGATAATATAATAGACGACAGTTATTGCTTACTCACTGAATTAGGTATAGGTAAAATGTAATAATATAAAAAGTATAACTTAATCCAAAATATTTATTAGATAATGTTAGACATAATAATATTAAGAAAAATATGAGAAATTATAATTTAAATATTTTTTAATAGAAAATATATATTCAAACATGAAATGAAAAATTATAATTTTTTTATATTAGTATATTTATAAGAATTATATTTTTTAAATGACACTTTATGTATTAATTCTTTACCAATTAAAATTGTTATTTAATTTGAATAAAATTAATAAATACATTTATGTGGCAAATAGGTATTTAATTATTATTCATTATTATAAATATTATTAATGTTAGATCATAATCTAACAACATAACGTAATATGCTACAATTATGGCACAAACAATATGTTTATAATATGTATGTAAAATGTGTACATTTAAATTATTTCCTCTATCAATTTAACTGACATAAGAGTTTTAATATGAAACGTTATCTTCATAGGCAAAAATAAGATGGACCAAGTGGTGGAAATTAAAACTCAATAAATAATAGATTTAATTAATTAGTTTAATATAAGCTTAGGCAATCTTTAAAGGACGTGCAAAGTGTGTGTAAAGGTTTGGATATATATAGAGTTATATTAGATTAAACTGGTCGAGATACAGAATGTTCAGTAGAAGTTGACGTTCCTAGTATTTCATTTGAATCAACATAGTGTATTTGTGATACGACAGTCTAAGAAAAATTATTGTTTTATTTTAATATTAAATAAAATAGAATTTATATCTATAATTTATTAATTCTTATTCTTTATTGAATTATATTATTTGTGTTACCTATAATACCTTTAACCTTATAATAAACAATTATGACATTTTTATTATTATTATTATTATCTGAATGAATAGCATAATTTATGAATTATATACAAGTTCACCCGCAGGGGAGGGCCAAGGGGGACATTGCCCTCCTGGGAATTTTTTACTATGTAGGTAGCCCTGCCGTTCCGCCTTCTACGTATTATTACTTATTAATGAAAATTAAATATAATTTTTGGTAAGGCCTCCAAGTGGGCCGTTGCGGTGGCGTAGCAATTTTGAGGTTCACTGGTTTTCGTGATTTCGATAGCAGCATATTTCGTGCACAGATATCAGTATATCGCCATCATTAAGTATCTGTACTCCTTCATGTATCTTAATTAATAATTATATGTCGAACTGTTTATGTAATACATATTATACATCCAAAACAAATGCAGATTGCAAGACTGATTTTCCAAACCTTTTAAGCTTCAAATTATTAATTTTTTTTCCATAATAACTTATAACCTTAGAATCTTTATATGCAAACTAATATACCCACCATAAAAAATCCTAGATCCACCCCTGATTATATTATACTAGCACAACTACTTTTTTATATACATGATAACTTATGACATTCATATAACTATTAAAGTTTTTGATTTTATTATAACCTTGATAAAATATTATCTACAAGAAGTTAAAATGGTGGTAATAATAAGAAGATCCCTTATTAGGTGGTACCTATACTCTTTTCAGAATAAGAACTCACCAGATTTACGTAACAAAACCGGTTTTGTCCGTGGCCGCCTGGTTCCTTCTTATTCTGAAAAGAGTATAGTAAAACTTTCGTTGTTCTTATCTGTAAAATCTATAAAATCTTCAATACGCTACTCAGTTACCTACTGCCTTTATTGTACGTTATTTTCATTTGTCACTTCATATTATTCGAATTGAATACCTACTCATTACTCAGTACCTTATCGATAATAAAATGTGACAACTTCTACACTCAGAGCTTGGAGTAAACTTTGGCCACCACTGGTCAAAGTTTAATATGGAAACAGTTGCGTAGCTAGAATTATGAAATGATGGAGGGGAGGGTTAAGTATAGTGTAAGCTTATTTATAAATTTTCGTATTTAAATAATATAAATAATACATTTATTAGGGGGGAAATATGCAATGAGGAGAGGGCGTAGTCTAAGCACCTAAGCCCCCCATGGCTACGCCACTGTACGGATATACATATAGCTGATAGCTCGTAGTATATATAGACTGATAGACATATTAAATTATACGAGTAATACCCTTTATACAGTAGAAACCTCACATCGCTTTAACGAGCATCGCTTAGAACGAGATACTACATGCTTACAACAGTCAACAAGCAAAACTTTAGATCATGTCACAAGCCCATATGGTTGCATATTAAAATATAAGTTTACAACGAGTATGGTTATTACTTATTACGAAATACCTTAGCTATAACGAGTAAAATACATCGAATTATAAAATAAATGTTCGGTTATAGAGCCGGTCGTTATCTTTTTCCTATTATTTACATGCAAAAGGCAACTTGCTAGTTAGATTTTATTTATTTATTTGTTGATAAATAAATTTTATCTTTAATTTTAAAGCACAACATAGGTATTGGAAAAATCTCAGATGAGCCATCATCAGCAGTAAATACTCAATTGCGTTCTGATTAAATGTGTTCATACTACCTGCTAAAAATAGCTGGCCCTTGAAACTCGTTATAACTGTATATTATAAATTCTACTCACTCTTGAAATGTATGCATTTGGGTGGTGGAGCTATTATTTCAATCCCACGGCGGAAATCGAAATCGTACTCTTAAAAAAAATAAGAAATACATTTCGGTGTTTACTGTTTAGTACAGTGGCGTAGCCAGGGGGTGGCTAAGGAGGCTATAGCCCCGCCCCCATCGACCAGTGTTGACCTTAGAATTTTGTCAAGATTAATAAAAAAATAAAAAGCGTAAATAAAAAACCTATTGTATTTGTATACTTAGCACATCCCATACAAAATTCCTGGCTACACCACTGGTTTAGTATTAAGGAGATTCCATAACGTGATTGTCTGTTTTTGACTAACACACTCTCGACATTGGATTTTAGACGTATTCTTTGCCAAACATACCAGTGGCGTAGCCAGAAGAATGGCTGAGGGAGCTGCAGCCCCCCCCCCCCCGAAATATTAAGAAAATTAAAAAAAAATTTTAATGGTCTATGATAGTCGCTCAAAAAGTCTTAAATTGTATTTAAAATATTTAAAAATGTTCTATAAGTATTAACAATTTTTAGCTATCTATCTGTGCTGGTACGTATTTAGTGTGTAAAACTGTAAAAATTAATCTAATGAAGCGATAAGAATTCTAAAAACAGATTTGAATTTGTCATCAAGTATTCTTGCAATCGACTTAACCACAATTTTGATTTTCTGATTTTAGCTTCTCCAAAAATTTAAATAAAAAAATGTTTAAATACTCTTTTTTAATATGACGTTTTCATGAATTTGGGGGATAATATCAAAAATGTGGTAAAGTCAATTTCAACTTTCAAGTATACTTGACGACGAATTCAAATCTGTTTTCAGAATTATTATCGCTATATTAGATCAAATGGTATGTTTGGCAAAAACTATGCCTAAAATACTATATTGCACGTGTGTTAGACAAAGACAGAAAATCACCTGATGGAATCCCCTTAAGTGATCGTCATTTTAAGATCGGGATGTGCAGATGTATATCAGCGGTAGGTACGGGCAACGAGTGACCTCCTATTCGTAAATCATAATTACCAATAAACGTAGGTACGTATATAGATAGGTATAGGTATCTAAATAAAATTCTTATATAACCTTGACTAAGATGAGGTAAACAGGTTTGACGAATTTATAAGATAGTGAAATATGAATACACATTACGCACAGCCATTATAATATCACCTACCATTATATATTAAGTATATACTTTAGTATAAACGGCAGTATTATTATTATGGTTATGGTAGGTACCTATCTCGGCGTCATCGCTGAACAATTTGCCATTATTAGCCAGTACGAAATCAGTTCGGCCTGCAGTCGACGTCGGTTCAGCAATAAATAGAGGTGCACTCTCGTCGCGTACATGGAAATTAATATCTCCCAACATAATAGTACCTAATACAAGTACGTAAAGGTATAGTTTTCGGGCCTGTTGCGATGCTGTTCCGGACGGCGTTTGCGCTTGGCGTCTTATTGGCGTTTGGCGACGCCCTGTCGCGGCAAAAGAGAATCGTCGGCGGATATCCTTCGCTGCTGCCGGAATCCGACGGTTTCAACGTCAGCCAACCATCCGGTAATTACGGTAATTCCCAGAATAATGAGAATACCGTGGTACAAGTGCAAGACGACTACCGGTCTGCCACGGTCACCGGTGTCGAGGAACCCGAAGGCTATCAAGCGTACAAAGGCATCAGGTACGCCGAACCACCCGTGGGAAGACTCAGGTTTCAGGTAAGGCGGACATCGGTGGCGTGCCTATTGAATATTTGATGAAAATTATCTGCCTCACATCTTTTGTAGACTCCTATAATATATATTATATATATTGGCGGTGACTTAGGGACGAGCCGGCCCAGGGGACATTATACAGCTTTCCACCCATCTGCCCAATATGTATATAAATATTAGCCCTTGCGGTCGTCATCTTTTAGTTCACGATTTATTAATTTTTTGAGTAAATACATTGATTAAATATACATGTATATTAATTATTCAATGGTAAAAGGTATTAATATCTTGAAATGTCTGAGTGTGCCCTTACCAAGACAAAAAAAAAACAAAAAAGGGGTTTTCTGGATTTTTTCGTATCAAACCAGAATTTGTATAACCACGCCATTATACTACAAGTTGGTAAAACGGTAAATGGACATTCCCCCCCCCCCCGACTGTTTTCGGTCTAGTAGGACGTTTTATCCTTGATATATGATGCGGACATCCCCCCCATTTTTTTAAAAAAGTTTATCATTGATTAATTATTCTGAATTTAATAATACTTACCTAAAATATTTTTAATTATTTAATATGAAATTATATTTTTTAAATAAAATGTAAATTGCATAAATATATTTTTATTCGTATAAATATACCTAATAGATTATAATTTATTAATGTATATGTTTGATCCACTGCATGAACTACATACAACAATAATAATTTAAAAAAAAATTAGTATAGGTAAAATAAAATGATTAATTAATAAAAATGTCTAAAAATTCCGACTTAAAGATGATACATTTTGTATAAAACATTTGATTACTGATTCTTTTGTTATATCTAAGCATATACTTTTTAGCCTTTGTTCCTATTTTTTTTCATTTTTTTTTTTTGTTAAAACTGTACCAGATTGGATATTTATTAATTCAATACTTACTGCTTTTGAATTTGATTCAAGTATTTCAGTTGATCAAAAATATACATTTATAATTTATTAAATTTATGAAAATATTAGACAATAATAAGTAAAATTATAATTTCATATTATATAATAAAATAATATTATGAAATAGTAAATAGTAAACTTTAAAAAAAAAGTGGTGGGAAATGTCTTACTACACCGAAAAAAAAACGGAGGGGATATCCGGTAAAACAGGTGGATGTATAATATAGTGCCTTCCTTAATAAGTAACCCCCATGGCCCATATAATATTACCATCTATCTATTATAATATTAAATGACCAATTATTTTTTTGGAAGGTACCTATTTACATATACAGATAGGTATACTAGATAGGTAGACACGTACCGATAAAGGTTAAATGCATTAATCTTGTGTCACATTTTGCGATTGAATACTTCAACAGTTGAGGGTGAATGATTCTAAATGTGAATATGTAATAATATTATTATAAGCCATAAGTTCGTATCATAAAAAAAAGCTCAGGAAGCCATCACAACATATTGTCCGTAGACCCCGTGACCACTGCCCTAGAGCCTAAGAACCAAAGAGTATTGCTCTATTGATATAGTGTTCTTAAGGTTATTATGTTTTCAATATTTACTTACTATTTCACTAATATATATATATAATAATATACTAATTTGATGTTTAAAAAACAGGATAATGTCGTCTTTCAATAATTTGGTTAATATAGTGCCATTGTGGCTTATGTGTTGTGCAACGGAAGTCGGAACGATCTATTATAGTGTTGTTTCAACTTTATACTTTTTACTACGAATTAATATATACTAGTAAATAGTAATACTGTAATAACCAATAGATATAGCCGTACTAGAGTACCTATATTTTATTTTGTGGTCCTAACTCTTTAGTCGTAAAATGTGAAATATCAAGAATATACCTACCAACCGCTATTTTGCTATAGTCTATCGTTTATGTGATATGTACTTTAGGTAAACGATTGAACGAAAACAACACAATGTGGCATGTCAAGTTTTCCACAACAATTATTTATCTTGTTTTTAGCGACCGTCTTTTCTTCGTCTTTCTGGAGAAATCGACGCCACCAAATTTGGATCTCCTTGCCCACAGTTGAGTTCTGATGGCAGTGGACTAGTTGGAAGTGAAGATTGTTTATTTCTCAATGTGTTCACTCCGTTGGTAAGGACTATTCATAGATGTTATTTAACATGTATTGTACATTTTCATTTCATTCATCATTTCCTTACAGAAAAAACCCAAGAACTCAAATATCCCAGTATTGATTTGGATACACGGAGGAGGTTTCTTTAGCGGTTCGGCTTTACAATATGGACCTGCCCATTTAGTGAAAAATAATATTATTGTAGTTACAATACAATACAGACTTGGATCATTAGGTAAACATTATTAATTGTCCAAACAATTTAAATACATTAAAAACTTTACAATTTAGGTTGGCTTACAAGTAATTTAAAACAACTCCCTGGAAATGTTGGATTGTTTGACATGAGTGCTGCTGTCCAATGGGTTAAAGATTATATTAATTATTTTAACGGAGATCCAGAAAGAATCGTTGTATCTGGTCAAGGTAGTGCAGCTAGTGCTGTAACATTACTGACAATGTCAGATTTTACAAAAGGTACTTATTGAATTAATTGTAAAATAAAATAGGAACTAATAATATGATTTGAAAAAAAAATATATTATTTCAAAAGGAATGATAAGTGGAATTGTTGCAATGAGTGGTAGCCCACTGTCTGCATTTGCAGTAGACCCTGCGCCAAAACAAACATATCAAAATATGACTACTTTACTAGGATGTGATCAATCTGTACCATTAGAAGCAATTCGATGTTTGCAAATGTTATCAATCCAAACCATTATTAACTCTGACTTTAAATACCAGGTTAGTGAACATTTTTTTTCTAATTTTAAAAATGTACATTCATTCTTTTATCTACTACTTAGAATACAAAATTAGGAAAAGAAGGATACTTAACTGGATTGGGTAGTTTGTTAAATGTTGGTCCTACTGTGGAAGGTAGCAATGATGGCCGTTTTTTGCCAAATTTCATCCTAGATTCACCACTACGTTTATTGAAGAAACACAAATCACCGAAAATCCCAATACTTACTGGTGTTAATAAGTTAGAAACTAAATCAGGAATTTTGGGTAAATATTAAAAATATTATAATAATAAATGTGAAATTTAGATATTTTACTGTCATGTTTCCTTCAATGGAAGACATTTTATGTACCTACCTATTAACTAATTACATTTTTAGCAAATAACATTAAAAAATCAGTGTTTATTTTTGTAATTCAATTTTTATTTTTAGGAAAATACCGAAATCAAGTAATAGACAATTTGAACAAAATACCGGAGTATATTAATAAAGTATTACCACAGAAAGTGCTCACTACTAACACAGGTAATTTAATAAAATATTTTCTTTTTAAAATTATTTGACCATATTAAGCTAAATATAAACAAAAGTTTATAAGTTAAAATATAATAAATTTAAGATACTTTATTTTGGAATTGATCAGTTGGTAAAAGATCTTAAAATATAAATAAATATTGTAGGTACCTATATTATTAAAATTATAAAAATTTAAAAAATCAATTCAAACATAACCATTAAATTTATTGGCATAGATTTTTATGTTTACACTTAAAAGACTCCTATTTTAAACTATTTTTACCAGTTTTTCTGACTAACTCTAGTATTTGACCAGAAAATACATTCTATTACCATGTAAAAAAAAAATTTGTTACATTCAGATAAGTAAAAAGTTAAATCACAAGAAAACGAAAAAAAAGAAATGTGATTTTCATTTTATCCAGAATTAATTTAAGATAGTTCATATGATATGTTAAATTGCAGGTTTATTCAAAGACGGAAGTGTAAATAATGCTCTAAAAAACTTATTTGAGAATATTGATTACTTAAATTTATTCCCAACAAAACTTGAAACTGGGGTTAAAGAGATTACAAAAGTAATGCAGGTGAGTAAAAATACTTATGATACCTTTTAACATTCATAAAATATTATTTATTTATTATAATATAAATGGTATAGGTGTACAACTGGACGCAATTATTCAACTGCCGGCAGTCTTACATCAGCATTTATGGTCAAAACGGTAGCAGTGCATACTTTATAGTTTTGAACATAAACCAGTATTAAGTCTCCAGGAAAAGGGTTTTTACCAACCTATTGGGAATCCTAATAAAGAAGTATCCCAAAATGTCGGAACCCAATTCTCAACCTGTTGAAGATAATGGTGTAGTAGTAACATTTTATTTTAAAGATTTTTAAAAAAAAATGTTTTAATTGTATTTTATGAATAAATAGGAGAGCCTGGCCATGGAGATGAATTGATATATTTGTATGATGTAAGGTCCATTGAAGGTAAACAGATTTCGGGAACCGAACTAAAAGATAAAAAAGATATTGAAATGAGGGATAATTTTACATCATTAGTAGCAGAGTTTGTAAAGAATGGGTAAATATCAAATTTAACACTGCTTTAGGTATTACTCATATTAAATCAAATAATAATTGATTACAATTTCAGAAAACCAAAATTAAAAATATTAGGAGATGAATGGCCTTCATTTACTTCTTCAAAACAATCAGATTATGTTGTACTCAGTGAAAACTCACGTATCGAAAATAAGTTCCGTTTTTGTGAAATGGGATTGTGGGGTGGTGTGCCAGACATATTGCAATCAACATACTGCAACTTACCGGGAATATCTGATATATTGAAAACAGTCCCAGATTTATTACAAAATGGCGTGTTAGGCGATGTAACAGAAGGGGCGGTTAATTTATTATCACTAAACACAATTGATGGACTAATAAAAACTGGTAATAATGGATTATTAGGTACCAATAATAATGGATTATTAGGTACCAATAATAATGGATTATTAAGTACCAATAATAATGGATTATTAGGTACCAGTAATAATGGATTATTAGGTTCTAATAATAATGGATTATTAGGTAATAATAAAAATGGAATGAAAGGTACATTAGGTGTAAAAAAACCGGATGTTACTACCAAAACACCTAATTCGAATACACAAAAGCCTACTAATATATTAAGTGGTCTTGGCGTGCTTGGATAGTACACTAAACAACTTATGTGTTTTGTATTCTATACTAAATTAAAACATAACAGTAATTACTAATGAATATATATATTTAGATTTTAATTTAGTAAATTTAATAATAACAATAATACAACATTAATAATAATAAATTAATAATAAAAAATTACATATACAAAATACTTATTTTTTATTTTTTTTTAAATCCTCAAATCGATTTAATAATTCATCAAAATCAGTTTCTTCGTCATCATCTTTATCTTTAACATCACCAGTAGGTATATCTGTCGGTACACTAGGCAGGTCAGGTAAGTTTGAAAAACCCATATTTTTATTGGAAAAAATTGGATTTTTTGGAACAGGTTTAACTACATTAGCTGCTGGTGGTTTTGGAAGCGGCTGCTGTATGGGTGCAGGCAAAGTAGGTGTGGGCACTGTAGGTAATGAAGATGGCATTTCAAAATCCAATGGAACTGAATCTAACATTGAGCTCATAGTCTGCATATTCTATAATTCACAAAAGAAAATGTCAGATATGAATTATATTTATGAAATGTATTACTTTACTTACCGGATAATTAATGGGTGGCGCCTGAATTGGAGCCATGGGCTGTGACGGAAAACCAATAAACCCTGTAGGCCGTGTGGCATTTTCATTATTTGAATTTTTACCATCAAAAAGTATAGAATCTATACTATGAGATTGTTCATATTCTTGCATGACCTAAAAATGAAAATTTAAAAATTCAAGTAAATGAAAAATAAATATACTATGGTATACTTTAAGATTTGCTAATTAATTTTAAAAAAGCCCATTTTAAATCCCTAACACTTATTGTTAACTTTATTTTAAGTGTTCAAATGATTAAAATTCTTAAAAAACAATCAGAAATTATCATAGTATTGAGAATCAATACTTTGTCTTACTTGTAAATCTGGTTCATAGGGCACATTGTAATTTTTGGAAATTTCAATTAAATATTTCTCCACTAGTATCTTTGGCGGTGGCCTTAAACTCAACTTATGTTTAAGTTTTTCAGATACAGTATCCATGTTTTCTGATCTGCATGACTATAAGATAAAAAGACAATATAATAGAAGACAGTTATTGTTTACTCACTGAATTAGGTATAAGTAAAATATAATAATATAAAAAGTATAACTTAATTCAAAATGTTTATTAGATAATAGTAATAAAAATATGAGAAATTCTAATTTTAATATTTCTTGATAAAAAATATATATGCAAACATGAAATGAGTAATTATAATTTTATTTGGTCAGTATATTAACTATAAGAACTACATTTTTTAAATGAAACTTAATGTATTAATTCTTTATCAATTAAAATTATTATTTAATTTGAATAAAATATATAAATAAATAACAAATATTTAATTATTCATTATTGTAAATATTATTTATGTTTGACAATATGTGTGTAAAATGTGTTTTGTCATTTAAATTATTTCCCCTATCAATTTAACCAATATAAGAGTCATAATAGTTTAATATAAAACGTTATCTACATAGACAAAAATAAGATGAACCTTGTGGTTGGAAATTAAAACTCAATAATTAACATACAGGTATACTAAAGTCATTTAGACTATGTCCAGTGATTGTTTACAAATTATTTAACATTTGTATTTTAAAAAAATGAGATTATAATAATTAATAACATACAAAAATTGAAAAAGAATGTTGTAAGAGAAGTTTATTAAAGGCTTAGATAGATTCTTAATAATGAAACAAAAATGATTATTTACTGTCAACATAGTTTATAGTATAAAATTATTTAACAATATTTAAGAGGATACCTAATCAATTAAAAATTATCATAACTCACTTAAAAACTGAATTGTGGGGAAAAAACCCACATATAAACACAGACAATGTTCATAAAGTTTCATAATAGGTGCATTTACTCTAATTTTTGAACTAACGAAGTAAAGTATAGTAAATTTGCTATGTTATGCACTTATAAGACGGTGGCAACAAATGTCTGTGTGGCGTCCTCTTAACTAATTAATTCATTTAAATGAATGATTATTGTGGAGGTACTATATTTACCTCAGTATACTTTTTACCAAATTTTTGTGTTAATTGATCAGATATCACTTTCATTTCACTAACATCAGCTTGAATATGAGGAGCTACCCATAACAAACTGGAAACTGATTCTTGAAGAGAAGAATCCAAAATTCTAAAAACAAAAAAATCAAAATTGTTAATTAGTTTAATACAAAAAAATATAAAAATGTAATGGCTAAATTAATTATTAGTTACAGGTAAGTTGTCCACAGAAACATTAATTAAATGATTTACCAAGACTTTATTTCCATATTCAATAATAATTTATAGGTAATTATGTCATAATATTGTATTATACGCATTTACATAACCACAGACTTTAGTTTTGTAATATAAATGCAAAGAAAGGATTTGGTCACTTTAAATGTTACTCTACCAGAACTTGGATTCATGTATTTTATGTATGTTTAGTAATTTAATTGTAGATTATACCAAAAGCTCTTAGGGCCAGTTGTATCATCTTAGATAAGTTAACCGGAGTTTTAGTTGGCAAATTTGCCAGGTTAAATAATTTGTAAGCAGCTGATTAAGTGTAATCAAAGTTTAACCGTAGACAGTATAACTGGCCCTTAGTGTGACAAATTCAAAAATGGTTTCATTTTAATCCACGTATGCTAAGTTTCCAAACATAAAAATGTACCTAATATAAGTAGTTTAAGTAATTTACTTTGATTGTTGTAAGAGACCAAATCTAGATAACAGAGCATCGCAAAACATCTCGACAATTTCTAGTGCTTCAACAAAGTAGTCTTCGCGTATGATGTGTTCAACCCTTATTTTGGCACGTTCACTCTTCCCTGCAGCTACCATATCTGCAATTTCTTTACGCGCTTTTTGAGCTAGTTCAGTTTTCTTTTTTTCCAATAACTTCAGGCGATTTAGCGCCAATCTCAAGTTGGTCTTCAGTTTCGAATAATTGGCGTCCGATGAAAACATTGTAAATCGTCAAACGGCAATGAATTACTATAAAAAATTATAAAACAATAATGAACAGTAAACAGGTGGTTCAGAAAAATTTAGAATCCTGATTTAGACCAATTTACCATTTGTCATGACTCATGAATCATGATTACTCAGTACTCACAATTTTAACGAAGTCACAACTCACAAGTCGTAATAATCAAAATTCTAGTAGGACTGTGGGTCGTCGGAGTACGGCCAAGGGCGTTAAAATTTATAAACACGAATTAAAAATATTATTCAACTTATAGCCAGAGATAAAATTCAGTGAGTCATAACTCATAAGTCATAACACAAAACATAAATTATGGCCATGAACATATTTTATTATGGTAAATACTAAATAGCTGAAGACAGAAGACAGAACCATGAAAAGAAGTGAGTGGGGCCGAATAGATAAGAAACGGGGAATTCTTCAAATGAACATCACCACTGAGCGCTAGTAGTCAATTAGCTCGTTATCAGGCTCATAGCACGATTAAAGATAATGTACAGGTAAGTGGTAACAGGTTACTCAACGAAAACCGTGTACCTTATAGACTATAGTCTATGGGCGAAACCTATTTTTTGGTGTACGAAATATTAAAGATATTGTCATAATAGCAAGAATTACAGTCGACGCTTTTTCATTATGGTGATTTCTATTGGTACTATAAAATATATCAATGTTTATCAGAGTATTAGAATATTCTATTCTTCATGATATATAATATTATACAATATCCACGGACTAAGATATCTGATATCTTAGTTGATATATATATATATTATATTATATCTTTATTATACTATAAAAAAAAAATAACCACTTCTTTAATATCTATGGGAGTGCCCATGAGTTCAAGGCCATGTTCCGACTTTTTTAAAATAGCATTAGGATTTGGGAGAGTGTCGTACTTTCCATTATGATTTATGACTAATGAGTAATGTGTCTGTGCCCTGTGGTATACAGAACTACAGAAGATGACTGATGAGCAGAGAGAACGTTATCATAACGTTATCATATAGCTCAATGGATGAACATTCATGCTATATAATAAGTGATAAGTCATTGATAACGGAAATCTAAATTCGAGGCTCGACTGCTCGAGCTCATTATTCGACATCTCGACCGCATTGACGCATTGTGGTAATTAATAATTATTACAAATTGCAATCTTGCAGTCCGACGACTTTACCCTGCACTCCAAATATTCTGACTTTCGACCAAATCCATATACATAAATATTCGTTCGCGGGCAATAATAAAAAATGAAAGGTCTCTTGGCACTGAGGAGAATTCAACATCGGCTGTACACAGATTTCGACGCCTTATGCCGCATGATACTCGGACATGCACCTCCACCAGGTTAGCATATTTTTTTTTCTAGACCCTCTGTAATAGTTATTATTGGTTGAATGCTCGTCCTTTACGCATATTAATAATAATATTTTGTTTTATCATTTTCAGCACTTTCTTTTGCGAGTCCTGCGGAAACACTTAAACCGTCCACTCCGGCTCTGACAAATGTTCAACGGCTTTTTGGAGACTCTATTCTTTGGGCAGTGCCCAAACACAGGCGTACAGTTGAGAAAAGACTAAAACGCAAATTTGGTTGTATCGATGATTTTTATAAAATGCTAATACCTCGCACAGATTTACTCACATGTAACCAATGCGGTCATAGTTATCAGAGACGCCATTTGTGTCGTGAGTGATGATAATATGTTCATAACTTTTTTAAATTTATAATATTATGTATGTTTTTATTTTAGCAAATTGTTACAAGAGGGTTAAGGATGAAACCACAGAGTTTCAGGAAGTGATTGAAAAAGAGTTAGGCTTAGAACCTATTGAACAGGAAGTAGTGGTTCTTTATAAAGGAGAGAAAACCAAGCAACCAGTAGAAGAACATTGGAAAGTAAGACTATTTGCCTATAAAATATTGTTAAATTATTAATATATTATTTTATTGTAGGGTAAAAGAATCATTGAACTTAAAAGAGAAAAACCGTCTTGGTTCTGTAGAAACTTATTACAAAGGACTACTATTGGCAACTCTGATTCAAAAGACGTACAACCATCAGAATTAGCTTAAGCCAGTTTTTCTTTTTAGTATAAAATTGGTTGCAATTTTATTAATTTCCATTCACCTTCATCAATATATTAATTAAATCAAGTAGAATATATTAAATTTATAAAAATTAAAGAAATAAGAATTTTTTATATATTAACAATGATTATTGATTGCTATGAACGTTTTTAATAGTGTCCAGATAAGCTATCAATTATAGTTTCAGGTTCTTCATCGGGAAAATGACTGCTTACATGTTCAACTAATTTATCAAACATTTTATCGCCTTCAGCTCCCACAATGTATAATTTACATAAAGGACATATACTATGGTTATCTGGTTTTGCACGAACCCCACAAATACAAGCTGTAGTGGAATCAAAAGTAGAATTTGTTAATGTTTCTGCATCTCGATACTCTGCTGAAGGTTTTATAACTTTGACTTCTGTATAAGAAGAAAAACATGATAAATTCAGTAATTTGTATTGGATTCAAATAAATATAAAATAATGAGACTTACCCTCGACAAGTAGATTAAATCTTGAAGTTATGTTCAAAATCAAATCATTTTGATCGGCAAGTAAATGTTTGGCTAAGGTTAATTTTTCTTTGTATGCATTGAGTTCAGACAATAACATAGGCCAAGATTCATCATCTGAACTATACTGAAGACTTATTAAATCATCATCTGCGTCCTAATAAATATTTAAAAGTTATGTCATACCTATTATCTAATATAACAAATATACTCTTATAGCCATATGATAGCTTTAAAATAATAACTTGTATTAAATCTAGAACTTAGACCGATTTAGCAAAGTCAAAACAAAATTCACAGGCTTGTGTTGATGAATTTCAAGAATGAAGTATAAGACAATTCTTATAAACAGGTTTTAAAAAACATGGATTAAATAATTTGACGCTATAAAATTATAAATCAAATTAAAGTGGAAAAAATATTATCAGCCTGCAACAATCTTGGGCGTTAATTATGCAAGTGGTGTCAAACAGTATATTATACAGAGGTTCAATTTAACGTGGGAAAATGTAGAGATAATTAACTTCATTATCAATAATTATTTGGTGTCATATAATATTTTTTTATGGTTATGAGGGTTAGTGGGTATATAATATTTGAGAATTGAACCTGTTGATGAAATAAACTTTGACATCAGTAATTAAAAATATACTATATTCAGAATAAGAAAGGGTACTGAGTGGCCGACTTGTGTGAATAGGCACGTGGCTTAGTTCCGAATGCCAAACCCGGTGGGAAAAGCATCTGACCGCCGACTTCTACCTATTTTATTCCAAATAGAGTATATAATAGTTATTGAAAACAAACAAAATATTATGATTATGACATACCATAATGCAATTAGAATCCATCTTGAAATCAACATCTGAAAAAATATATATTTATTGATTTAACAAGTTAATTTAAATTGTAACTATTTTTAAATTATAATTTACATTTGACACTGTCAAAGTTCATCTAATGAGATGATTCTTTAATTTGTTTAAGCCTAAAAATAATATAATACATAGTAGGTACCTCAAATTTGAATTTTTTTTCAAATATTTAACAGATTGAGGTTATAGGAATTAAACATATAATAAATATTTTTCATCAATATTGAGGTTTAAATCAAAGGTTCAGTTGGATCAAAAATTAATAATTATGAAGGACTACCAAAGATATAATATCCAGTAATTATGCATATTATCGTGTTTTAAGTAATTTGAGAATAGTGGGGTCAAATGGTCAATACTGATGAATGATGATATTATTGAAAATATTTTTCTGTTAGAAAAAATGGTTCCAGGAGTACAAAGGGAATTCAAGCAACAAATTATGATTATTTTTGTCATTTGACTATATGGTGAAATTATAAATGTGTTATATCTAGGTATCATTCTATTAAATATTTAAATAAACTACAATTGAAACTAAATGAATCAATAAATGCAAATTAAAAATAATTGAAAGGTATATCAAATATTATAGTTGTAAAAAAACTATAGGTAGTATTATATATTTTTATCTAATATGACTAGTGAGATCTGCCACATATCATGACATAAATACCTATTTAATATTATTTTGATAATCAACAACATTTTTTGCTCGTACCATTATATTTTAAATAGTTGTCTATGATAGCTAAAGAGTTCTTCGGCTTGATTTTATCATTTGATTGAACTGCCGGATTATCTAACGATGACAATGTTGTCCACAATGTACGATTTTCATTAGTAACAATTCTTAAATATTCGACCAACTGTTGCTTTTTACAAGATAATTCTTGAACATTAACTTCTGAAGATTTCTTGTTGACAGTTTGACATGTACAGTTGCTTTTTATAGTAACATTTTCTTTTTCCACTATGTCTAATCGAGATTGTAGCCTTTCACAACGTTCTGCCAACATTTGGAGAGCTACACGCAATGCAGCAACTGACCCTGGATCGTCCGTTATTTTACCGCAAATTGTAGAGGACATGATATTCAAATATATTAAACACTGTGAATATTTTATAAAAATGTAAGTACTAAACAGTATTGTTTTTACAAAAGCTATAACTAAATAAAATTAATAAATTTATATTATATAAGAATTAATATTTAATAACTATTTATTGGGGTTCAACAAAACAGAAAAAAAATTAAGATCCACATACAAGGTTACAGATACTTGTGTGTATACTGTATATAATATAAAATAATATATTTATAAGAACAAAAATAAAGAAATAATTAGTTAAGTATGTTATTATTTTTTAAATGGGTAAAAATAAGTAAAACACTGTAGAGTGTAGACTGTAAGGTATATAATATTATTATTTAAATATTTATTATGTATTTATCATAGATAAAGTTATGTATAAACAATAACACTGGATACTATACAACTGGCAGACGGCAGTCTGTAAAGATAATAATTCCCTTTGATTTAATACTTATCAGTTATCACCACGATTTAAGATATACCTTAAAATTAAAATTAAAATTTAAGGTATATCTTAAATCGTGGTTATCACTGTGAGATACTTTCTGACATTTTCTGATAAAGTGATAACCTCAATACTGCATATTCAGTTGCCTATGTATTTCTTATGAGGAATTTCGATAAATATATTTATTTTTTTCGGTAAAAGATTCAATATGTATTATAAATAAAATAAATTATAATATGGTTAAATACTAATTATGCTTAGTATGTAATTTGAAAACAAGTTATTAAAACATATTCATGTTTCTATTAAATAAAATAAAATATAATGTACCTTCTTTACACTTTTAAAAATTACTAAAATACAACTGAAACTAACAGGTATCTTAGTTAGTACTTAGTGACTTAGTGTTATATTGTTATAATAGTATCTTAATAAAAGTATATTCGAAAAAATGTGATTTAAATTTGTAAAATCTATTGAAACATTTTTAAAATGTTGATGTAAAAGCAACGTAAAGACTTACTCAAGTCAATAATTATGTAGAAAATATGGTATCGGTACATGCACGTGGGGGTGTAATGGTTCAAACCAACTAAACCGAAATTTTTTCAAACAATATTATTTTTCGACACGCAGCTATTATATTATTATTATTTTACCTATGTAAAATACAATTTTGAATTTTTTTAAATATTACCTATTTCGTATCAACTATTTGCCTATATTAACGTTCACGCGGTCTACACAATACATATTATTATTTACAATTCTTGTATGGTTTATATAACTGTCCATGTCGTATCGACGGCTGCTAGTGCGGCGATGTCATGCGCGTATCGACGGTCGACGTCGCGACGACTCGGCCGACGGTCGACGTCGCGACGACTCGGCCGACGGTCGGCGAAGACCAAGATGCGGAGCGAGCGAAGTGAGAGTCTGTGCTGCGGAACCGGTGGGGACGAGCGAAGCGGCCGATGTGGGATTACCGCGGGGCGAAAAGGCGAGAGCCAGCGGACCACAGCGTGATCCTCGACTCTCGGTAATTTTTGGCCTGGCGTTGTCCCTTCAGGCCGCCGCTCGCCGTCAGACCCTGAAACGGTTAAGTTTCTGCGAGTCCGACGCCGCTGTCGTCCACGTGTTTCTAACACGCAAATCTCCGTAATACTCACCCCGTGCCGAGGTCTCCGCCGCTGCCGTCGTACCGAGTCGCCATCGCCATCGTACCGATTCGGTGTACCGTCGAGGCGGAATCGTTGCCCGGTACCTCTACTAGCCGCCGCGGCCGTCACCGTCCACCGTCGCCGTCGCTCCACGTGAGCGTAACTGCGGTCGGGCGCTCACCGAGCCGCCAGAGAGTCTCGCGCTTCATCGACGACCGAGCGCGTCACGCCAGCGAACCAGTCGCGCCGCGGGTGCAGGTCGGAGAACGTGCGCGGGTGACTTACCTCCGCGCACCGTCCGTGCTCTTTCCCGCATCCTCCCCTCCATTCCGTCGTCTTCGCCCAGGGGGGCAAGCTGCGGACGTCTACTCATCGGCAAAAGCAGCACAGATCGCGGAAAAAGCGTCTTCCACCTCGTTGGAGACTCACCGCAGATTTCGGGTGCTTCAGCCGCCGGGTCTAACCAACCGACCAGCTCACCAAAATTATTGAACACTGTTTCTCCCCTGGCGGGCTCGATGATTTCATCTGACACTTCTGGACGCAAAATGGAATGGTCCTCTGCTTCCGGAACTTTTGAATTTCCGTCTTCTCGTACAGTGTCGTCGTCGCCGAGCGGTGCTGTCGCTGGGATCGGAGCGAGCTCCGACTCTGCAGTAAATGACAGCGCGTCGCCGCTCGGTACTCCATCACCGTGCGAGGAGACGGTCTCCTCGACGTCTTCGGCCAACGCCTCTCCGTCTGCTCCTCCAAGAGTCGGATTTCGACCTCCGGGCTCCGACTCCGGGGTCTGAACGTCACCACTCGCTGTAGTGGCGACCGTATCAATGACAGATAGAATAGGAGCGACTAGACGAACGAGGCTTTCTTCGGTTTCATCAGCGAGAGCGCCTTCCATCTTGTTGACCAACATTTCTTCTAACATTTCCATTAATATATTTTTTACCGCGGCGCGGTCGATGTCATAGTTGTCAGTTGCCATAATTTAATTTTTGAACGAAGATAATTTGTGCGTGTACTTTAGGATTCAATCGAGAGTTGGAAATGAGCTAAATACGAATCTTTCAACGCATAGAATCCGAGAAAATCTCCCAGACGACGACGTGTGTTACTAGCCAGCTAGTATGTTTATCGTTCTCGTAGGTCCTCAGCTAGCATTAGAATTTCGAGCGCGTTAACAATAATAATATAATAACAATTTTATTTTATTTGCAAACAATTCCCAACACATTTTCAATTATAAATACAGTAATAAGTTTGCACACCTCCTATAAGCAAAAGCTTGTGTTCCAGGTTCTCAAATTAGACATTAAATTTAAGTACAAATAATAACAATAAAGCACAATATAAGTTTTACTTAATACAAAATAGAGCGTTGATTTTTCTAAAGACCACTATTATTATTGATATCCAGCTACACGGTCGTAATTAAAAAAATAATAGTAACTGCACGACGGTGTGTGATGTATAGTAATTTGAATACTTTTTTTGTATTTTTTTATTCATTAAAAAAATACTTTTTTCCGATCCAGAAAAATTGTTTTAAATTTGTGGTAAGATATATTAAAAAACATGAACATTGATTTTATTCTTTGAACGAAATATATATTGGCCCATGATATGATTATTTTTAGAAACACCAATGTGTTGAATCCTGTATGGCCCGATCGGCCATATCATAATATATTCATATGGGGTCAAAAATTATAAATAACTTATGATTACGATGTATTTTTAATTATTAATTAATAAATGTTAATTACCAACCATTCAAAAACTGACAAAAACTAGTTGTGATAAAAAGTATTCTATAATAGTATTCGAATACGTATTCTGAATACCGCAATTCTCATTTATTCGAATACAAAATAAAAGTATTCTTTACAAGACTGCTTGGCACCAAAAGATTTAGAATCTTTTTTTAAAATCTGATTCTAAATAAAAAACAATTTCTTATAATATGCTTAATTTAAGTCATAAAATTTAATTATTAGAAAATTACCAAAGTTTTTAATTTATCCTCATAAGCATCAATTATTTACAATTCATCCATATAGTTGCTAATTGCTATATGTATATTCAAATACTAGATCGGTTGAAAAATGTTTGGTCTGTAATGGTAACTGAATGGTTTATATGCGCTATAGACTTGTAAGGGCTGTAATTTTTCGGCCAGGTCCAAAAATTACTGTACAAAAAAAAGCCCAGGCCCGATCCGGAAAAAAATTCCAAGACTTAAAAAAGCCCGGCCCTTTAAATTTTTATTTTATTTTAAAGACCCGGCCCGATCCAATGTAACAACGGACCACGACGGTTTTTTGAGGACCTGGTCGGGTCGACCCGGCCCTTGCAGGTCTTTACAGTAGGTGCCTAAAAACAATTTCTAAGATTTTCATCACAACCAATAGAGTAGTTTTATAAATATTTATAAATATGGGCGCTCACGAATTGCCTCCCTTGAATTATTTTTTTTTTAAAGGTTAAACGAATTGCTTCTCGATTTCAAGAATATTATTCACTCGAATTGCCTCCTAAGAGAGTCACTATTATACCACTTACAGTCGTTGCCAGATAAATTGAGACGGCGGCGGCGGCGCTTTTCAGTAAGTGTAGCCCAAACCAGTTCGAACCCGGCTCAGTGCAAACAATTTTCTGCAAAATTTTCTGTACTCTCTCTCCCATGCCATCGTTCTGGCTGCAGTACACTGCTAAAAACAACTAACCTAACCCGGTGTGTTTCGACCGCACGGCGCGGCGGGTCATCAACAAAAAACAGCCATAACAAACTATTGTTATGTATATTAAAATTGTAATTTATAATATTATAATGTATAATTTATAGTTGTTGTTATTATTTATATTATTTATTATTATTATTATTATATTATTTTAAAATGTCTGCTTTTTGTTAAAAGATTATTATAAGAAAATTGGATTTTAAATTAATATCGTAAAATAATTTTTGTAACAATTGTTGGTTTATACTTTATTGATGTATTTTCGGTAATAGTATTGAAATACGGAGAGCCACTGGTTTTTCGTTATCGCGCCGCCGACGCCGGCTCAATTTATCTGGCAACGTCTGTACCTACTCTTGTACTGGAATCGCTTATACATTTATTAATTTATTAACCTATAAAAAATATATCAAACATAATTTAGATGAAATATCATTTTGTTATACAGTCAAAAACTTAAGTTTGTATAAAATAAAATATATTTTAATAAATAAACCGACACAGCAGTAAAAATTAATCGGTCTTTGAAATACTGTATGTATGTCTTAAATATTTTATTTTAGAACATTGCTGAATAATATAATAATCGATTGTACACTGTACAACTATCGATATATTAATTAATAATCCAGGTGTGTTATGGGGCCAATTCGAGTAGACAGTTTGGGTATACTCGAATTGCCTCCGAAAACACCCGGAGGCAATTCTAGTAAAAAAAGGTCACCTACCTAAATTTGGGAGGCAATTCGAGTATCACCATAAATATAAGCTACAAACATAAATTTGGTTTTAAGATAAATTTTCTACAATCGAGGTCTGCATGTAAACGCAACAATTTAAAGCATGCTTTTACCTCATCCTGCCCGATTAACCAATATGGGCATATGGCAACCATTTAAATAAAAAAAAAAAATACTAATTTCTATTATTACTATTACAATAATCTGCATCCAATTGCAACCATTTATAAACAACAAATTTCCATCGTGAATCTCAATTCTCAAAATCCTTGTTTGAGGACTTCATTAAAATGTGAATTACGGAAAATCCCTTTCTTAGTGAGACTCTACATCATAAAACAAAACTACTGGCCAAATTACATACACATACCTTCAGCGGCCCGGCTAGGCGATGATGAATCAGTCAATCAGGACAAGTCATTAAGTCATTTTATATAATATAAAGAATAAAGATTAATATTACTATATGAGTTAGGTACCTACCTAGTACCTATAGGCTATAGGTATGTCTCTGTTAGTAAAAGATCTGTTTAAAATGATATATATTTTTGTGTCAACATTCATTATCATATTATGATAAAGGTAGGTAATCAATTAGGAAACGTACAAAATGTTAAGTATAAATTTATTATTCATATAACAGAATTTTGGAAACATATATAATATATATACATAATATTCATATTATATTGAACGATGATAAAACAATAAGTTCATAAATACCAATCACTTTTTTTAGTTTTTTTCACAACATTTGAACGATTGTACTCTAATTAAATATTAATATTTCCATTCGTAATTTATTTATTCTTTGCATTTTCTGCATCGAATTCCATTACATAATCATCATTGTCGATGATCCGTACGACCGATGAGTGATATGACCTATAATATTTGTCTTTAAGTTTATGACATCCATTGTATATCTCAAAATAGACAGGTGGAATTGGTTCGACTTTAATTTTATCCAATAATAAAGATTTGCAGTAATTTAACATGTTTTCGCCTAAGAAATGTGTACTGACCGGAGTCATCGTCTTAATCATACAATCCAACCTTGATGAAGAATTTTTACGAAGAAATTCTAAATAATATCGAACCTAAAAAAAAATTTAAATACTATTAATAGTTATATTTGTATTACACTATTACTTATCGATTTAATTATTTATCTATAATTTTAAGAAATTAAATTAAAATAGTAATAGTTTATATTATAAATTTATTGAAAGTTATTATTTAGTTTATAGTCTGAATAAATAATTTTACATGCAATTTGTAATTAATAATAGTTTCAATATCCGGCGGTATCGGGTCACTTCCCCGTCTGCCATTTCCCCGTCAGACATTTCCCCGTAAGACATTTCCCCGTCCAAAACGTTTTATTTAATATTCCATATTATATTATTTATATATTATAATGAATTAAAAAAAATATAAAAATTCCAATTTCGTACTATCTATAATACATCACGTATAGATACATATCGATATATACCCGTCCATTAATCTAAATGAAATCGGCTTCAAATTGTATAGATATTTTTCGTGATCGGTGAAAACCCAAATAATACGCCGATAAACTAATAGTCAACACACATTATAGATTGTCTGAAATATTACCTACGATTTATACGGCGACGACGAATCTGATGACGGGCCCGCAGTTTAGTCGTCAGCCCGCTTTTGATGTTCAATTAATTTTGTTTTACACCGTCCGTGTTTGTCCGTTGTTTTGCTTATTGTTATAGTGCGTTATTTTAATTTAATTCATTAACAATTTTTACAATGTCTTTAAATTACATAAAAAGTTCAAAAGGAAATGACTTACTAGTGTACTCAGAATATATTTTTGAAAAAGATTATATGAAAAAACAAAAACTTATTGGAAATGTATAAGATACAATACTGATAAATGCCGTGGAAGGGCACATACTAAAAATAATGAGGTTTCTTTTCATAAAGACGATCTGCATAATCATACGCCAAATAATGAAGAAATTGGTGTTAAAAAATGTATTTCACAAATAAAAGAAATGTCAAATGAAATTGAGTCAACTCCACAACATATTGTTGCTAAAATTTCGTGTTCTTCTCAAGCAGTATCTACCGCTTTACCAATAGTTAATGCAGTGAAAAAACCATTCAACGAATAAGGCATCGAAAAAATGCACCTCCAGCAAACCCGAGTATGTTATCAGAGTTAATTATTTTTGAACCATATAACCTAACCTTAGACAACGAGAAATTTCTTCTATACGATAGTGGAGTGGGTGACAATAATAGATTATTATTATTTTCGACAAAAAATAATTTAAAGATTTTAGAGTCTCAGCAAAGTCATTGGTTTATATAGATGGCACGTTTAAATCACCACCGCATTTGTTTACTCAAATTCTATCCATACATGCGATAAAATATAATGCGGTATTGCCATTAGTTTTTGTACTTTTACCTAACAAATCAAAAGTGAGTTATACTCGAGTTGCCCGAGAACTTTTGATTTTGGAAAAAAATTTAAGTCCGATTAGTATAATGACTGATTTTGAACATGGTCTAATTGAAGCATTTACTAATGTTTATACTGGTACACAAATGAGAGGCTGTTTTTTTCATTTTGGTCAATGTCTATGGCGAAAAATACGTCAAAAATATACGAATAATGCAGATTTTGCTTTGAAAATAAAGCAGCTAATGGCTTTAGCTTTTGTTCCTGTGCCAGATGTTGTTGAGAAATTCGACGAATTGATGTCTCGACAGTTTTTTGTAGACAATGAAGAGTTATTAATTCATTTAATTGATTATTTTGAAGAGACGTGGATCGGGAGACCAACTAGAAGAAATATACGACGACCTCCAATATTCGAATTAAAATTATGGAACCAATACGATACTACACAAGCAGGTTTGCCAAAAACAAACAATAATATTGAAGGTTGGCATAGAGCATTCTCATCTTTATTAGCTGCGTCTCATCCTACCATATGGCGACTTATTGAGGGTCTTAAAAAAGAACAACAGTTAACTGAATTAAAAGTTAACCAATTCATTTAAATTCATTATATATAAATAATATAATATGGACGGGGAAATGTCGTACGGGGAAGTGGTTACGGGAAAATGGCAGACAGGGAAGTGTCCATGAATCATATCCGGCGTATAGAGCGACCAAGTTACAACGATGACAAGTTTAGAGCATTTAGCCGTCAACTTTTATTCCATGTTATTATGTTAACTTGGTTACTCTATAGTGGCAAATAGTGGCCTAACTTTATTTTCTATATATGATTTAAAACTAATTTGTATTATTCATTGCATATTATAGTTTAAATAACCTACTTAAGCCTCATCATTATACATTTTATAAACATATTTTCTTTTTCACAAAAATATATTTAAGTCGATTTTAGTTAAGAACTCAGCTCTGGTCCTCTGAATCGTTCCACATTGCTTTACCACATCACATAATCATCCTTTGCCAAGATCTTAGATAATACATACTATATGTCTATATAGAGCTATACTTATATCACGCGTAGTCTACGCTTGAAGCCGATTTGGTCGCGCCCGTTCGGCCCCGATGAATTTATTGCGAATGCATAAGAAATTAAAAAGATAGTTCGGGACCACGGACTAAGATATAACAATATCTTATACCTTAATCCGTGTTCAGGACTGAGTAACATAATTGCGGTAAGGTTTTTTGCATGTGCAGTGATGACATCGGGACCGAACGGGCCAAATCAGCTTCAAGATTTTAAGTCATAGCTCTATTCAGTATGTATTATCTAAGACCAACTTTGGCCAAGGTGTACAAAGCAATAACAACAGCGATATCTATAGCATTCGATCCAAAATTTTAGTTATTACAAACTACAAAGCATTTTTGAAGTGTCTTTGTCTAGGTACAACTATTTCAAGAGACATGAGATATTTTATCAAACAATACAATTGGAAAGAATATAGGTGTTATACACTATAATATTACAATAGGTATTACATCTATGAATAGGTCCTGTGTAGACTGAAAAATGTCCAAATAAAAATTTCCAGTGGCGTAAATTGGAGAATTCAGCTGCATCGTGAAGAGAGGGGAGACTAATGGGTATTTCTGTTGGTTTAAAATAACTTTTTTTCAAAAATGGCCATTCCAGAATACCGAATTTTATATTAAGGTATGCCACTGAATTATATTATCCAGAAAAAAAATATAATATATAATTAATTATAATATAGGTTATATTGTACAAGTACCTGTAAGTCAAATATCCGGAACACAAAAGTCAAATTCAAATATCCAATGAAACCCATAGTAGGATTATTCATATTGATGATATTTTTATAAAGTGGAGTAATTAATTTGTCATTCAAAACATTAATTCCACAACTAGGTTTCAAAAATGGTAATGTAATTTTGTATCCTAAAAAATACAGACAATACTTAACTAATTTTGTAGATTTTTTAATTTCTATGAGCATCTATAATTTATTGATTAATTTATATACATAGGTAGGTAAAGTTTAAATTCTTATAAATTGTATTAAATTATGCTTAGGTAAACGAAGGAACATAGTTATATTTGTATCATAATAGCAGGAAGTTCTTTAAAAATAATAGTTTTAATGTACCTATTTACCTGTGCAATAAATTATAGCATCCAAAGTCTGCTCAGTTTTATCTTTAAAACTAACAGATTTTTTAGAAAAATGCTCAACGTCTGGTTTATGTATGACATTTTTTGGAAAATCTTTCTCGATTAATTCAGGCTTATGGTGACTAAAATAAACCTGTAAACGAAAAATAATTTTAAAAAAGAATATCATAGAGTATAGACACATCTACGTATCATAAAATCAACATAGTTTGTTATCTTATAAAATATTATAAAGACATAAAGTTAATTGAGCCACGAATCACGATTTAATACCTAAAAGTTCTAATGAAAAGGTAGCCGGTTCACAATTGTATTCAATCTCTAGTCTTTATCAATTATTTATTAAAACAATATTTCACGTGAAATAGAAATAATATATTATAATATTATACCTAGGGCTGGAATTTCAATGCACTTTTCATTATTTTCCAAAGCTACGAGTAAGTACGGGATGCTCGTTTATAACAATAAATTATATACGCTTCATGTAGGTATTTTTGAATCAGCATAAGAAGTTATAATTTTTTAAATAATTTTAGGGTTTTTAGGTTATTTAACACTAAAATACGGATTTATTACGAGTATAGAAGATTAGAAACGGCTGTACCGTCCTGCAAAACTTTTTATTAAATTTAATAAAAAATATTTTTTTATTCAAAATTTGTTAAAACAAAAATATTATGTGCAAATGTGCAATTTATAGTTGCATTAATTGCATTATTTTAAATCTGTAGGTTATAAAAGCATTTTTTTTGACAATTTTTTGGGGTTTTTATAGGGCATTGCACTCCCAACCCTAATTATTACTTATAAGTTATAAGCATCCATTTTTATTTCTACAGTTTGTTTTTTTTCCATACCAGCTAACATGATAAAAAGTGTGATGACATAAAATATTGAAATGTTTACAAAAATACGAAACTCTGAATGAAAGGGACTTCCATTGACACTACTGATATTTCTATGATATTATGTTTATGTAGGGTTTATAATAATAATATATATAATATTTTATACAGGGAACATAATATTATCAAAATAAATTATAATTATGTTAAAATTGTTAAATGGACAAATGGTACCTAATAAGTAATAATGCTTGTAACTTTATATTTTATTAAATGCCAAAATGCAATACAATTAAAATAAATTTCTGAAATAATGCAATTTTATCGGCATTTTGAACATTGCTAGCCGGTAGGCCTTGTATAAACCCGGGCCTACCTACAAATCTTTTGTTTAAAAATAACTTTTCCAAACAATTTTTTATTTTTAAATTCTAACGAAAAATAAACCTTGGCTACTTCTAAGTATATAATTAAAGATTAGGCTTAGCCGTAAAAAATATCCAGTTACAAGTTTACAACCATTTATAATATTTCTCTAATCTCAGGAAATCAGATTAATTCTTTACCTAATATAGCTATACATATTAATATGATTAAATCTGAACACTACAGACGCGTAAATTTACCTACAGAATAAATTATCTGATAACATTTAATCTTATAATGTATGTAGGCACTTACTTTTGTAATTATTTATACATTGTACATGGTAAGTTTGATTTATTTTTATATTTATGTAACTATACATAACTTATATTAATTTATTTATAGTTTATACTAATTTGTTCTGTATAAGCTTATTGGCATTTACCTGATTTGCAATTTTCGATACATCAGAGCAAATATCAACGCCAGAAGGACCACTACCAATTATGAGAACATTCAAATTTGTAAAATGTTCAGGTATTCTATAACTATGACTGTGTATCTGTATGCCATCAAAATCATTATTCCCTGGAATATCTGGGGTAAAAGGCAAAGCGTTATGTCCATTACACACCATTACTGCATTATAGTATTCAGTCTTTGATGTTTTTGTTTTCAAGTCTTCCACTGTCACCTCCCAGTTGTTCGTTAATTTCTCCACTGAAGTCACCAAACTACAAAACTACGATAAATAATGAAGACCACGATGTAAGCAATTTTTAATGAAATATTACGCTAGAAAATAAATGTACTAAATTATAATTAAAGCTCTATTTAGATAATTATAAGATAATATAATAATATACAGACCCTGCTCAATTTAAACACTTCTAAAGCATCTAGAGTCTAGGCAAGCAGTTTTATGTAAAAATCATTTTAGTGTGCTATCCAACATATTATCCTCACACTCAAGGTTATTAAACACAAACAGACAAATAACAAATATAAATTCTAATGTTTTAATACAAAATCACAAATGGGTCTAGTTCGTTTTGTGTATACTTATAACTTATATACTATAGGTAGTTAAAGAAATATAGGAAAAGCGTATCATTAGTCATTACCACACTTTGGCTTAAATACATTTATTATAGTGGGTATACTGAATAGTGTACATCCTTACTCGAATGTGCTTATTAAGTCCGAAATGTTCAGCAAATTGTTCAATATATTCTTGCACTTGGCAAGATTTCAAATATGACACATTGTCTAAACCCGTATAAGGAAAGTCTGGAAAATCCATTAATTCTTTTGGTAAATTCGTCCTAAAATTGTTATAGATATAACAAAGTCATTAAATGTAATTAATGTACCTATACAATAGGTATACCTACATACAAAAAAAAATAATAATTAATATACAAACATTAGATTTTGATACATGCTTGTGTGGATTGGCAAACCAAATTCATCGATTCCGGTTCGTTCATCATATACCCAAGTTCCACCCACTCCTTTCGACCTTTCATAAACTATGGGTTCAAAATCATTTTCCAAACATCTTCTAGCTGAAGCCAAACCAGCAACTCCTGCTCCGATTATAGCCACTCTCATACTGTTAAATGTTAATTACGATACTATACGCAATATTATAACTTATATAGGTATACTATAAGTACAATTGAGCTTCGATTTTATCTCTGAAATTCGTAAATTATCTATATATTAAAAGAATAAGTATATTTACATAATATGGTAAATCGTATACTGGATAATTCTATTATCAAAGAAGACTAATTAATTCAAAAAACTAATAATGTTTTCCAAAGTATATATATATAGGTACCTATATATATCTTTAATTTAAATACTTTTTTTTAATTAGTATTTTTCAATAAAAGTATCACCCTGCATACATATTACATAGTAATATACTAATAGGTATGGTATATAATAAAAGTAATTTATATTTAATTAAATTTTTAACTAATAATATACCTGTCTAATAAAAAAATTATAGTGATAATATATAGATGTTGGAAATATACGGATTACTCGACGGATTGTTATTACTTATTATGATAATATCTACGATATTACTGGTTTTTATAGGTAGGTACTTATTAAATTATTGTTATACAATAGGTAATAGGTATTCATAGAAACAAATTTATTATTTTAACAACATTTAACTCCTATAGATATTACCTATATTTTTTATATTATTATAATTTATAAGTATGTCGTACACTCGTACCAAACTACCAACCCAGTACCTACATTGTGCACAAAAATCAAAATCTAATCAAGTAAAATTATTTTAGAACAGTTTGTTTTAAAATAAAATTGATTTTCTTTCTAATTGCTATATTTGTTAAAAGTCCATTTTACTGGTACTATATATCAGGATATCCATGTAAGAATTGGAGTTTTTGAGTGCAGTATGGTACACAGGGTATATACCCTATAATTTGGTGTATATACTGTATACCAATACCATGTAAAAATAGTATATGTATTATGTACCTACACTTAATATGCACGTATATACGTTATTGTAAGTATTCTGTATTCTGTATTATTATTTATCAGGTACAAAAGTATCATGATACGAAGTTTATAAATTAGGTACCCATAACTGTTATAAGTTAGAAACGTGTAACAAATAATTAAAATTGGTTATTACCACAATATACCACTTATAAATGTATGAATATTAGTATAGTTAATGATTATTGCAATTTTTATTTTTGATCAAGTGTTACGAGGTATTAGGTGTACGAGGTACGAACTAAATGTAAGTACAGAAGTGGGTACCAAAAAATGCAAGTTTGCGAATTTATTTTGTCATAGCTTCGTACTGATGTACTATGGATTTTTCACTATAATGAAGCAAGCGGCTTTTTGAAGGGTTAAATCTGATTATTTTAAATGAGACGAAAACACTACCTACTGCAAGTGCTAAGTAAGCCCCCTTAATCTTCTGTTATTAAGTATTATATACTCAAACTTTTTACTGTAGATAGGTATCAGTGGCGTAATTAAGTATTTGGTTTTTGGAGGGGGGGATATACGTTTTTAGCAAACATTAATGGTCATTGGTAATGACTCATTACCAATACTTTGATCAAAATGTTAGCAGTAAAAAAAAAGTTTTGGGGGATCTATCCCCCTAATCCCCCCTAATTACGCCCCTGATAGGTATATCCTCTGATTTCTTCTCATATACTATTATAAATAAAAAACAAGATAGGTTCCTAAAATATTAAATTCTAATGTTAATCGTTTTTTACCATTCACATATTTTTTTTAGTTAATTAAAATAATATAAAAACGGTATTGAGTAAAAAAGTATTGATTATTAATTAATAGTATATAAAAGTAATTAAAACACATTTGGTGAGAAACAAAAAATAATAATTATTAATACATTTCAAATTTTGTTGGAGTCAGTTTTATTATGTGTCGTACTGTCGTGTTAGTAAAGTAAGACCAACCATATTATTACCACAGACTATATGAAAACAGATAGCTCACTCGGGATGTAAACAAAAACTATGAATATTATCACCGCGACCAAATCAGTGTGACCACAGTGAGGGCATAACATTTCGTTTGGTCCATGACAAAAAAATGACGCGATTGCTACCTGCCGCCAACATTGAAATTCATACTAACTACCCTTCTATTCTATAGGATCTGACCTTTTACATCCCTTAGAAAATAGGTTATCTTGGCCTTTAGTTGCTGTTTGCACGACTTCCATGTGACTTATTAGTTGACCACTGACCAAGTGTGTAGTTTACTTAATTTTCAGTTTACAATTTAGTTGTACTTCTTAATTTTAAAATGGATAGTAAAAAAACAGGAATGCGTTGCTCTGTACAATTTTGCAAAAGTAAAGCAAGTACTAGGAATATAAGTTTCTTCCAATATCCAAAAGACGATCGTCTAGCATTATGGACAAAAAATTGTGGTACAGAAAATTTGACTGAAGAACTATCAAAAAAAAATAGCTATAAAGTATGTGGGGATCACTTTGTAGATTCAATGTTTTTGAACTCCACAACAAAAAACCGACTAGTTTTCAATGCTATTCCAACAATATTTAATGGTAAGTAAATAATAAAATTATTAAAACATGTTTAAAAATTATACAAATAATTTGAAAAACAAATTTGGATCTTTATAAAGTAATTTTTGGTATAATAATTTAATTTTAATTTTAGTTACGGTTTTTTGAATTTAATTTTTAGATGAAATAATGTTTGAAAGAACTAAATTGGCCAAATTACAGTTGAAAACCGATGTAGATCCACAGTATTTTGATGATAATTCAAAAGACCAGAGTAGCTGTAGTAGTTCAATTCCAGGCACTGAAGGATTAAGAAGTCATTTTAGTGGATCCATGAATACTTCTGATGCTTCAAATGAATCTTGTAGCTCAATCACAACTACTGATTCTTCAAATCAAACACCTGGATACTTATCGGCAAATACACCAAGGAAACAAAAACTAGTCACGGAGATTAAATCTGGAAAACAAGAAATAAAAAATTTAAAGAAGACTGTAGTAAGTCTAAGTCAACAATTAGCTAACTATGATACAGTTGAAAATTTTTTAAAATTAGCTGAAAAATATTTATCACCTGGATTATTTACAATTGTCAAATCCCAAATGAATTTAAAAAAAAAACAAAAAGAAGGTTATAGATATAATAATGAAATTAAACAATTAGCATTAAATATTTATTTTTTAGGACCTAGAGTCTATAAACTTTTATTAAATACTCTTTCACTACCATCAATTTCTACTTTAAAACGGTTAACTCATAAATTTGAAATGATACCAGGCTTGAATGAATTTTTTTTTAATATTATTAAGTATAAAATTAAATATTTTACTGACGAAGCTAAAGAATGTGTTCTCTGTGCAGATGAAATGGCCTTAAAATCAAACCTCTATTATATGTTAAACAAAGATGAAATTATAGGGTTTCATCAAACAAATAAGACAAAGACTTATACTCCTGCCAAGTATGCATTTGTTCTAATGGTTAGAGGAATAAATGTTAACTGGAAACAACCAATTGCATACTTTTTAGTATCAAGTAGTTGTACCGGATATGACTTGCAGGATATTATTTTTGAAACTATTCGCAAACTTTTTGATATAGGATTAAATGTAAAAGCTTTTATTACAGATATGGGTTCTAACTTTGTTAGTTTCAGTAAAAATGTTAATGTTACCCCAGCCAGGCCTTTTTTTAAAGTTGGTGAAAAAAAAATAATATATATATTTGACCCTCCCCATTTATTAAAATCAACAAGAAATATGTTTTTTCAACACAATTTTAAATTTAATAATAACTTAATTGAAAAAAAAACACTTAATATCATTTTTTGAACAAGACAGTAAATGTAATTTAAGAACAGCCCCAAAATTAACACATTCTCATATTTTTCCTGGACCATTTGAGAAAATGAAAGTTTTTTTGGCTGCGCAAGTGTTTAGTCAAAGTGTAGCAGCCGGCATGGAGACTTACCTTGTTAGTAATAAATTGGAGTCTTCTTCAAAGGCAACAATAGATTTTATAGAAAATATGGACAAACTTTTTGATATCTTCAATTCTTCAAGAAGGCCAACTTCAAAAAATTTCAATAGACCCTTTAAACAAACAAAAGAACAAGAAGACCATTTAAAATATATGCATAATTTTTTTACAAATTTAATTATTATTAGCAAAAAAGAACAAACTGATGTTACTAACCGGATGAAATTTATTAATGGTTGGTTGATCTCCATAACTGGCTTGCTGTTACTTTGGAAAGACTTAAAATCAACAAGACCATTAAACCAACAAGAAAATTATGTTTTATACACTGCCAGATTAAACCAGGATACTATTGAGAATCTTTTTTGTACAATTAGACAACAAAATGGCAATAACACTAATCCAACTCCTTATCAATTTTTGTTTGCATTTAAAAAAATTTTTTTACTTAATTATTTTCAACACTCAGAAAAAGCAAATTGCATAAATGATTTGGATGCAATTTTAACTCAAATACCCACTGATTCAGACTTAGACATTAGCACCCTATTTGCTGATAAAACACCCTTTCAATTTAAAAAAACGTGTCCACTTTCTATAGGACATGTTGATTATAGAAATTTAGAAATTCCTGAACAAAATGCATTCATTTATGTTTGTGGATATATTATGAGTAAATGTCTAACCAAACACTCATGTGAAATATGTTTAGAGTATGCAAAAACCCAAAAAAATTTAGATCCTTCATTTTTGTTATGCTTTTTTAAAGCGTATGAAAATGCTGAAAAATCAACTTTTGGAAATTTAAATATGCCCCATGAAAATTTTTACAATTATGTTTATAGCTTGGAATCTGAATTTATAAATAGTTTTCCTATTTTGTCTGTTGAAAAAGGAATAGGCGATAAACTTAAAATGAGAATGCTTAATATTGATTATGAACATCCATGTCCCAACTTTGATAAAGATTACTTACTGAATTTTTTTTTGCGTTTTAGAATTTATGCTTCAATTAAATTTTTAAATAGACATTTGGTATCTGAAAAAAAAATCAAAAAC